CATTTAATATATGTATTGTTTTGATGTATAAATTGTTCGGGTTTTTTCATCTAAAAAAAGCGACATTAATTTCTTGACGACCTAATACTTTAATTTTATTTATCCGTAATAGTTCCTGTTTCAGGCTTTAGAAATAATCTTATTCTCGTAGCAGGTACCTGTCTAAGTTCTACAGGTGGCTATGTTTTGTCTGTACGAATTTCACTGTTAAGTGATTAGCTGCTGTCTTTGAAAAGAAGCTCTAGAATGTGCAAGATATACACTGCACTAACATACAGTGGAACAATAGGCTTAATGATAGGCAATGAAAACGTAAAATCCATATACAGGCAAAGATAAAAACATGTAGATGTATATACGGATACACACAGATGCAGGTAGACAAATGGCAAGTAACACGTATATTCACAGAAGAGTAAAAACTTAAACAATTGTGAATATTGTTTTACTGTTCGAGTTATTGAAAAGACCATTAAGTCAGTTCTGTATTTGATACAATCTCTCCATTTTATAAAGAACTTAAACAATTGTGAATATTGTTTTACTGTTCGAGTTATTGAAAAGACTATTAAGTCAGTTCTGTATTTGATACAATCTCTCCATTTTATAAAGAACTTAAACAATTGTGAATATTGTTTTACTGTTCGAGTTATTGAAAAGACTATTAAGTCAGTTCTGTATTTGATACAATCTCTCCATTTTACAAAGAACTCTCGTCAACTATGTTTATACATATAGATATTACAGATTTTAAGGAAACTTGACAAAACGCATTGTTAGTCAGACTGATTTCCTGGAATACGAATAAAACAAGGAAACAGGAAATAACTAGTTATATATATAAACTTGAAGTAAAAATTAAGCAAAACAACTAATAATTTTTTTCCCAGGTATGAAAATAACATTAAGAAAAACAGAACTGATTATTTTAAACATATGGAGAGTCCTAAAAAGAATGTGATGTAACATTTTAATTACTACCCTACAGCTCTTTTTTACAGAATGTGATGTAACATTGTAATTGCTAACCTACAGCTCTTTTTTTACAGAATGTGATGTAACATTGTAATTGCTAACCTACAGCTCATTTTTTACAGAATGTGATGTAACATTGTAATTGCTACCCT